ATCATGCCACGTTCAAAGTCACTCAAATCACCTTTCTTCCCCATACTGATGCTCGGTTTGAACTGCAGGAGATTGTCTTGACCATGTCTACATGCTTAAATGCAATGAGTTGCTGCCATGTGACTGGCTGCTTAGAAATTAAGTGTTAACGAGCAGTTCGACAGGTGTACCTAATAAAGTGGCCGGTGCGTGTATGTTTCAATCATGCTTTTATTTTTACTTCCTTTTATTATGCTTTTATTTTCTTTCCATTTTACTGTTTAATTCATGTTAAACACTTTGAATTGTCGTTTTACTGAATTGCGCTCTACAAATAAACTTGCCTTACATTTTAAAAAATGGCCAAATTTCAGCAATAAAATGTTAATAGCACAACTTTTCAGTTTTTAACCACAAAAGAGACAATTGTAAACCCAACGTAACGCTGACAGACTAATATTTGTTTCAACTTCAGCCTCAGTATATCTGCACCAAGTTTTTTTCAAACATTTTCTCCAGCAATTAGAACTTACATGTTCCAGTTTTTCCCTCCTGCGAAGCCAAACGCTGGCTGAGTAGTCCTGCTGCTGGACTGCAGTAATGATGGAGCTGGCTGGAAGTCCAGGGGTCTGAAAGCTAAAACCAACCCCCTGACCCTTCAAGTCGTGGCCTCCTATGTGGCCCCTGGTCCTTCGTGACTCCATTGCTGAAACTTTGAGGGATTCCTGCAGCACTCTTCCAGTCTTAGTAGGAAATTCTATCTATTAAATCATATTTAAATTCCTCATTGATGCTCTGTTGATGAGTGTAAAAATTACACTATATTCAGGAAATCTGAATTTACCTTAAAATAGCTGGTAATGTTTTATTCACATGCTAAAAAAGTTATTTAAATCTTTTAATAAAAAAGTAAGCTCCATGCATTCAGTTCCAGTCTGTTCAGAAATATAAAGGATATATGAATTTCATTATTTAGAAGTTTTTTTTCCATTGCATTAGGAAATTGCTTTGGCTGCCATCATACCCCTGATTTTGCATGAAGTGGGAGCCCTCCTGTCTTCAGCACCGTGGCCATGAAGTCCAAAATCTGTAGGTTTCCCTCCAAAGTCGATCTATCCAAAAAGGGAGGATTCATTTCATCACTGTATCCCAAAAAGTTTCTCTATTTCAACTGGGTTCAGCCAGATCTCTTAAGCTCTCAGCAGACCAGAGACTCTGTCAGACAGTGATCAGGGCTTCCACTGATCCAGGCATCCCCGGTGTGGAAGTGTGTGTATGTGTGAGCAGAAAAGGGATGGAGGAGAAGGGAGGGGGTTGGCAAAGCCAGAGAAAGAAGAAGAAAGAGAGTGGCAGTAGATGGAGCAGTGAGGGCTAATGCAGCATCACAGAGAGAGGAAGGAACCCTGAGAGAAACACCAATAAGACATAATAACAAAGTGGATTGACACGCCCATTCCTATGTCTCCCTCCGGTCTCCTTCCATCAATCAATCTCTCTCCTTTCTGCGTCTTTAGACCGCTTCCTCTCACTAAATCCTTCCTTTTCTTTCACAAACCTCTCTCCTTTCATCTCATCCAAACTTAAAAAGCACTCTGTTTTCATGTTTCTCTTTCATTTAAGTCATTAAAAGTGTATCCTTCCACACATACACACCCAGACACACGCACCTAGCTCCATCTTAGCAGATTGGTGCAGTGGAGCTGCAGTGTCTCTGCTTCCTTACCTTGCTTCATCGTGCCAGAGAAGCAACAGAGCCTAAAACCTTTAATTGGCTTATAACCAAGACCTCTTGGGCAAATCATACACTCCATTGTTTCAGTCCCCATTCAGAGAGTGTGGCTTGTTTTGGTACAGTATTTACTTGAAGCTTGTTACAGCCAGAGTTATGGTCCCAGCTCTTTAAATAAGAAATATCGCCCCCCTTTAGGGAGATGTCTTAAAAAACAGCATCTGTGTGAAGAAAACTGAGGTGCAAGACAGCTCTAGTTCCACACACACCAACCCAGCACAAACAACAAAATCATTAGTGGCTAGCAGCCAGAGATCTTTGTGCACTGAAATGGAAATGATGCACCTTAATTGGATGCCAGAACCTCCAGCTTAAGTTTTGAAAATGTCTGCAAGAGATGTCAAATTAAAATAAGGAGGATGGGTTGGTGTGTGCACGTAAAGAAGATCTTAACAAAGAGGTTTCATTACATTGGTATTTGACGCAGGATAATCACATCTCTCTAAATCCAATTATATCAATGCTTAGAATGTTTTTATCATCCCTAGTTAAGATTACTGTCATGTCAGTAACTCAACTCACTAAGTAAAACACAATGTATGAGCTAATTACATCCTGAGTGGTGTTTGTCAGTATTTATATTCGTTAATTATGACAATGTTTCATTTACATCTAATTAAATCATCTAGTTTAAGATTGGAACACTATATCAGACTGATAAAAAAAAAACATAAATGGGGATTAAAATATAAGAGACAGATACTTTTAATGTGACAAATAAACCTCATTTGAAAATATTGAAGGACTATATTTGGGTATAAATAAAAAAAAAAGATCAACTTGAATTCAATTGGTTGATTTATTTGGCTTTTTACAGAAAGCGATGAGGAGAATCGCTAACAGATGGGGCTGATGTTCATAACTATTAGAACATCTGGCACAGTTTGATGTAAAATGATTTTTGAATTGAACCAAGTTTGTTTCAATTAGTGTGAAAGAAGTATAAAATGTGTCTGTTATTTATTATGTTTCATCAAAGTGTCTTGAAAACTATTGATACACTTTTTGAACCCAAAGGGTTTTCAGTAATATATATATAAAAAAATTATTTGGAGATGAGTTTCAGATCATTGACTTTGGAGGCCTTTTTGCTTTAACCATTGGCTTTACAGTAGTTCCCTCCTCAAATTTTTTTTTTTTTTATCAGCAGGAAGCCAGCACCCCAAAACCTAAAAAAGCATAATATTCCAGTTATATTAAAAGAAAGTAGGGTTCAAAACTAAACCTGCAGGAGTATAAGTAATGTCAGACAAAATTGTAAATAAAAAGCCAGAGCTCCATTATTTTATTCAATTTAGTACATGCAAAAAAAGAATTATGTACATTAATGCAGTGCATACTTTGGGTGCATATCAATAGAAAATATATTCCAATGAGTTCAAATAAAATAAAAAGTTGATAACTTGTCTATAATAGTGGTAACATACACTCACCGGTCACTTTATGTGGTACCCCATTCTAGTAACGGGTTGGAGCCCCTTGTGCCTTCAGAACTGCCTCAATTCTTCGTGGCATATATTCAACAAGGTGCTGGAAGCATTCCTCAGGGAGTTTGGTCCATATTGACATGATGGCATCACACAGTTGCCGCAGATTTGTCGGCTGCACATCCATGATGCGAATCTCCCGTTCCACCACATCCCAAAGATGCTCTATTGGATTGAGATCTGGTGACTGTGGAGGCCATTTGAGTACAGTGAACTCATTGTCATGTTCAAGAAACCAGTCTGAGATGATTCCAGCTTTATGACATGGCGCATTATCCTGCTGAAAGTAGCCATCAGAAGTTGGGTACATTGTGGTCATAAAGGGATGGACATGGTCAGCAACAATACTCAGGTAGGCTGTGGCGTTGCAACGATGCTCAATTGGTACTAAGGGGCCCAAAGTGTGCCAAGAAAATATTCCCCACACCATGACACCACCACCACCAGCCTGAACCGTTGATACAAGGCAGGATGGATCCATGCTTTCATCTTGTAGACGCCAAATTCTGACCCTACCATCCGAATGTCGCAGCAGAAATCGAGACTCATCAGACCAGGCAACGTTTTTCCAATCTTCTATTGTCCAATTTCGATGAGCTTGTGCAAATTGTAGCCTCAGTTTCCTGTTCTTAGCTGAAAGGAGTGGCACCCGGTGTGGTCTTCTGCTGCTGTAGCCCATCTGCCTCAAAGTTCGACGTACTGTGCGTTCAGAGATGCTCTTCTGCCCACCTTGGTTGTAACGGGTGGTTATTTGAGTCACTGTTGCCCTTCTATCAGCTCGAACCAGTCTGGCCATTCTCCTCTGACCTCTGGCATCAACAAGGCATTTCCGCCCACAGAACTGCCGCTCACTGGATGTTTTTTCTTTTTCGGACCATTCTCTGTAAACCCTAGAGATGGTTGTGCGTGAAAATCCCAGTAGATCAGCAGTTTCTGAAATACTCAGACCAGCCCTTCTGGCACCAACAATCATGCCACGTTCAAAGTCACTCAAATCACCTTTCTTCCCCATACTGATGCTCGGTTTGAACTGCAGGAGATTGTCTTGACCATGTCTACATGCCTAAATGCACTGAGTTGCCGCCATGTGATTGGCTGCTTAGAAAATAAGTGTTAACAAGCAGTTGGACAGATGTACCTAATAAAGTGGCCGGTGAGTGTATATTTTCAACCTGTTGAGCCATTTTATTTCCCACTACAAACCAAAGGAGGTTTCTCAAATGATACTTGATCACCAATTTACCCAGCTGGCGTTCTCAAGCTGTATTTCTGTTCTGGGCAAGAAATCTATTAAGATACATCTGATCACCAAATCTGCCAAAGGTTTATAGCATATTTGGAATCAAATAAAAAACTAGAAACTTTGTTCAGGTTTTACACCCACTACAACTAAGGTTTCTTTTTTAGAGGTAAAATTCTGGTGTTCTATTTTTAAGGAGAGGGATTTTTTATTCTGCTTAAAGGTGATAAAAAAATTTTATTGGGAAAAATAAACATGTGAAGATATTTCCGAATATCGTTTTAAAGTTAAAAGCATGTAATATGCATAATAGTAGGTTATGTTAAGGGAAGCTAAACCAGTGCATCTGAAACGTCAATGATATTGATTTGGTTAAGTTGATGCCTGAAACAAATGGTGTGCATTAAATCATTTGCACCAACATCAATAGAATTTGACTTTTGCTGTGTTGTCTTTAAAGGCTCAATAATAATTGTCAGTTTGCATGAAAAAGAAAAATCCTGTAATTGTATTGTACGCAAAGATCAAAGCCTTGGACAAACAGTAAAGGTTAGGAAAATAATACATAATGCATCCACTCTTTCTCGTTCTACCATGTGTTAGATAATCTTTTGGTTTTGTCCCCAGGAAATGCTGAGTCATGTATTTTTGGAAGGAAGTGGGTACATTACAGAGAGCTCCTCCAGCCTCCTTCCTCCCATCCACTTCTCCTGTTTTCCAGTCACATTCCTCTCCGCAAGCAGCTGCTTTCAGTGGCCATCAATAAAAACACCAGCTGAATGCTGATCACACAGGTTAATGGGAACACTTTACTGAACATTGGCCAACTCTGCCTACAAAAGTAGTTGCAACTTCCTAGTTTTACAGAAATACATCAGGCTTTCTGATACACAAACATTGTGTATGACAAATGAAGCTTTTTCATTATCTGGAACAAAAGCTATCCCAGGTAGAAAGAGAAGACTATAAATGAGAAAATAAATGTGCAAAACAATTGATGTTATGCAACAAGATCTTATATAGTATATGATCTAGCAGAGCGTGTCGCTATGAACTGCAGAACTGTTATTAGCTGTCTGTTTATAACAGCATAAGGTTTGGAGATGCAGCAGGCGATAACTTATTACTGCTGTCATTTGCAAAGCACTCTAAGTGAATCATCTATCAGGAAATTGCTGCTTATCTGTTTGATGAGAAGAAGCAAACGAAATGTGCATGTTAATAATTTAGAAGGAACACTTTGAGCATTTAATAATAATAACAAAAAAGTTTAGAGTATTTCTGGGTCATTTTTGTGATTTTTCAGGGCTATGTTTGTATAGCTACCACTGCCAAAGGCTGTTTACAGATTATCATCTTCTCTGGATAAACTGAATAAAGGATAAAACTTTTTTCTGTTCTTACATGTCTGAAACATCTGGCTTGGGACAGAGTATTCAAGGCGGAAAAACAGTTGGATTACTCTGAATGTTTATCTACAACAGAATCGGAGTAAGCAGCGACGGCATCTAAGGCAGGAACCTCTGGTCTTATGTTTAAGTCTGAATCCAGATATAAAGGATTGTTCCAGCAGGATGGCTGCCAACGCAGAGTGCAGTCACCACACAAGGAATCCCAGACCCTGATGTCAAAGGAAAGACAAGGTCAGAACCTAGCAGGATGATCCGTAGGGTGAAACCAAAGCTGATGTTGTTGATGTGGTCAGTTGTCAGAGCCAGGAGGTCTGACGTCTGGTTAGGCGCCG